TATATATATATATATATATATATGGACTCCAGCAGTACTGCTGTGTCTGATCCCCTCATACCAGCACAACACACACTAACACACCACCACCACGTCAGTGTTACTGCAGTGCTGAGACTGATCCACCACCCAAATAGTACCTGCTGTGTGAGGGTCCATAGGGGTCCTGACCACTGAAGAACAGGGTGAAAGGGGGCTAACAAAGCATGCAGAGAAACAGATGGGCTACAGTCTGTAATTATAGAACAACAAAGTGCACCTGAGTGTAGAAACAAGGAGGTGGTCATAATGTTATGTCTGATCAGTGTGCATATGTGTATGTATGTGTGTGTATATATATATATATATATATATATATATATATATATATATATATATATATATATATATATATATTTCAAGAGCTGCAAGCTTGACTGTTTATTCATAGGTTAACTTCTTTACATCAAGGGTCTCTGACCTTAAGTGAGAGAATAAAAACACTTCAATTCTGCATGTTGCTAACAACAATACTTTTGACTGATTGTTGCAAATAAATTGAGGTCTGTATCCAGTGTAGACATTTTAATTACAGAACTTACAATCATTAATTCTTTAATTAAACACTGGGAGTCCCCATCCAAAAAAACAGTTTATTAGCAACCTAAACTTCCTTAAATCTATTTATCATTACTTACATTACTTTTATTAAATACAGAAAAGTAAATGAGAGCACGAAGATTTGTTAAGAACCATTTGGAAAATTAAATACAACTTGGCTAATTGAACGTTTTAAAATATCACTGAATTTGTTCGTTAGCTATGAGTTATAGATATTTTCTAAAAAAAAAAACCTAATACCAGAGAAAAACATGTCCTGAAAGATAACAGTTGGACCAGCGTTATCTAGCAACATGCAGAAAGGAATCCGAACAAGTTTTCCTGTCTCTGAGTTTCTTGTCTTTCATGCCTTCAGGTTCCAAAAACATAGCATACTCACAGTAGTACTTAAGGTGCGTTCCTTTAAGCCAGACTTCTGGCTGTCATCAGAGGGTTGGGTAGGTTTTGTTACTCAATGAGGCCAAGAACCCTCTACTTTGACAGGAAAGGGAAATTTGACTTGCTTGCCAAACAATCCACCTCTAATTTTTGTTGTAGTGGCAAGCTATTGTCAGAATTATGCTACATCCAGTGGCATAATTAGCACACTATAGGCCACTTTGCAAAATTGAAATTGATGGGCACCTCATATAAAAAAGCCTATAATTTACCTAATATGACCTATAATTTATTTGTTTGCTAGCTACTTCTGTGTGTAAACCAGATCAGTCCTCTAACGTAGCCTAACGGAAGTACATTGTTAAGTTATTGTAGCTACCCATGAGTCATGGGTGTAAAATAAGAAATCCAACAATACCTTATGAGACCTGGTCACCACAGATCACCCACAGTACATGTCATAGTGTGAGTGCCCCACATGAACTGCTGGTGGTTAAGCCAAAGACTACAACAAAAACTGACCCCTGTGAAACAAAGTAGTGTATAATGGCTTAAATGCTGCTTGAAAATTATTGGTAGAGACCTCAAAGAAAGTGTTGGAAAATAAAAGTGGTCTATTTTACAGACATAATTCAGCAACAGATTGCTACCGCCGATGAGCTAGCATTTAGCCTATTAAGCAAAACATTGCAGAGTCAGAATGATAAAAAGTGTTTAACGGAAGTCAGTACAGATGACAGTGTGAACAGAGTATAACTGATAAAACAGATAAATGCAGCCATCTTAGCTTACAATATTCATAAGACAATGTGTATAACTCTGTAGGTGAAGTATCTGGGACTGAGACTATAGTTCTTAATGAATGGAAATGGTCTGTAAAAGTACAGAAAGAAGTAAAGCTTGAAAAATCAGAATGCTTCAGCAATAGGACTGGGCTTTACATTCATCTCATCATAATTGCAAGGTTTTGTTCCAAAACACATTATAGAGGAGTTTTAGGATTGGTTTTCAATGATATACATTGTGGGCTTTATAAAGAAATACAAATGCTATATTATGATTCATTCCAGCTTCATTAGAGAAAAAAAAAACCCAAAACTTTTGTTTTCATTTTACATCATTATATGTTAATGTTTTCAAAAAAATCATTAAATCCACAATTGTTACAAATGAATATACAGCATTTTGGAATGAAACTCAATTAGAGTTGAAGAAATTTCTTGACTAATTGTCTAAAAACTCCACAATGAGGCTGAAGGAAAGCAACAAGTCTGTTGAACTATGTCAGTCAGTCTGAGGTGAATGACGTCTCCAGTATGGATTCAGGGGTTGTTGCCATGGAGCTCGGGGGTAAGACGAATGACTGGGCCCAACGCCTCATTTTCCTAATTGTTCAGGTGGAATCTGTTCTTTTGTCCCACTCAGCTATTGATTATGTGGTTATTGATAAGGGATTACTGAGCAGCATGCTACTCAAGACCTCTTTGGCCTAGAAAGCACATTGACCGTCTGACCTCCTGTATGTCAACTGGCTATAGCCTGCCAGTCGATACCCACCAGACATTTATTTTCACATACATAAATGTGTGTTCAGAAGATTTGTCTTTGCTACAGTACATGTAGAGCTGGTACAAGTAAAATGAAGGGAAAAAACAGACATAACAGCAAAAGGGCAGTTGAAAATGTACAAGACATAAGTAGATATATAGAATCTTCTGAGTATTACTTGTTTTGAACTTTTAGAGTAAATGCGTATTTTATTTTCTGTAAAATTTAATTTCATGCGTCTTTCCTAACCAGCACATAAAACATATCTTCGTTTGTCCACCTGTAAAACATACATACTCATACACGCACGCAAAATCCACCTCATGTTGGTTTTAGACCCAGAAATAAACACAGTTAATGAATCAGATGGAGCAGAAGCTCTTTGTTTTTATCACGTACAGCTGGGAACCAGACGTGCCTTCTCTTCTAGCATCTTTTCTCTACTATGATTATAAACAAAACTACAGCTCATATTCATAACACATTTATCTCACAGCCTCAATCTTTTGAATAACTCAGTGTCTAATCTTATGGAGAATTATAATTTTATTTTTGATGTAATATTCAAATACTTTAAATATTTACATATTCAATCACATAAGAACTTACACACTGAATTACTGCAATACATACCCATACACAGCAACAGCTTTTGAACAATTTTTCATCTCAGTAACACTTTATTTGAAGGCTACTTACACAGGGACTATGTAACATATGCATAATCACTGACTAACATATTTATGAAGCTATATTTGAGTATTTATCACAACAAGATGACTCAAGATGTACTATGAAGTAAATGACATTGCATTGATATACTGATATACTACATTTGATCTGGCTGAGATGTGATACAATGGACCTTACATGTTGGTAAGAAGGATATTGTTAGAAGAAAACAGGTTTGGTTCTTGGGATTGATTCACTTCAGCCCTTGTACAAATGTTTTAAATTCCCTCAGCAGAAAGCCTGATTTAATTTAATGAAGAACTGATTAGCTGAAGCAGCCATTGGATGGTAACTGTAAATACTAGGCTTCCTTATTAGAACTTTTGAAATGGCTAAGCTAACCTGCTCATATATGTCAAATCACAAAGTATTGTGCTCACTGTTGGATATAATAGCTTTACACTCTCATTTTCTCAGATGGCCTAAGACCTTGCACTTTTGTAGCTTCATTTATTATATAGGCTGTATAGACTGAGGGGTGCAAGGTACATTTTAAAACTTGAACAATATTTGCATACTACATCAAACTCTTTTATTTAAAAAAAATGAGGAAATTTGGGTTTGCGTAATGTGGTCAGTTAAAATATATATATATATATATATATATATATATATATATAGATCATCACTACTACATGAGGAATCTATTTCGTCTTTCTATAAAAGTCACATCTGTTTTTTTCATCCAAAAACATTATACCTGGTATGAATAGGCCTTTAGGATTAAATTCCAGCACTGTCATTGGTTAGCAAAACATCACTGGACCCACAATATTAATATGTCAGTCTTAGTAATACTTTCTTTTCAAAAATCCCTAAATATTGTTCCTGACCAATATGTTTTCTTAAACGGTGTCCTTGCCTCCCCCACCCTGCTATTTATAACTATTGACCGTGATAAGCTGAAAGTGTGAAAGACGGCTATCGGTCAGTGCTGAATAATGCAAACGCATATCTATTTGCCCACCAGTAAGAGAAACCTTTTAACCTTCCTTCTCTCTGGGGGGTCGACTCTCTCTCATACACACACATACACACACACACACACACACACACACACACACACACACACACCACACACAGGGCACAAGGTCTGAAATTTACACTCAGAACAGCTGGAGACATTTGCTGGGTGGTGGTCTTGCGTCTGTCCCATATCATTGTGTGTGTGAGAGGACAGAGGCCATATTGACAGTACAGGCTGCCTGGTTTCTTTAAATCCGTCGTGGGCTATCTGATATCTGCACAATGGGTCTCCAGGGGGCCACATGGTTTCCATTTTTTCGGCTGGCCAGTGGAAGTCAGCGGCTGAATCCTGACTGGGGGGTCAAATCTATCTGGCTATTTATGACCCTGAAATGTGACACTGCTTCTTAAATGCTGTCATCTACTTCTGATATAGGCACACAAGTCTGGGTGTGTGTGTGTGCGCAAGTGCGTGCGTGTGTGCATTCCCATACGTGCAGCACAGGCAGAGAGAGCGAGGAGTGGGAGATATTTTACGATCGTTGCAGCAAATTGTTTTTCCCCCCGTCTCGCCCCTTGTAAACAAAGATGGGTTAATATGTTCTTTTGATGACAGCTTTATAGAAAGCTTTTAGTCCTTGAGTATGTATCATATTTACTGTAAGTATACTTCAACTACAAAGGCATGTCACGATGGCCATAAATCAAAGCCGGCCTGGAAGCAGAAAATGTATTCAAATAAAGTGCGTAAAATATGATTGTTATCTTATCTCCAGGAGACGCAGAGTGACTATGTTTGGTTTGGTGTATGGAGAAGAGGAGGGCGCCTTGTCTGCTGCGAGTGATGCAATGCGGTTACTCAACTAGAACGGGCCTGTTTACAACATGACAACAGGAGCTGCAGTTTCTCATGCCTGTTTAATTGAAAGCAGGTCTTCCTCTAAAGGTGAACAAGGCCTTTTGGCTTCCTTTTACAAACAGACATGCATGCAGGGATTTCTTACCTTCTCCGACTTCAGATTCTGTGTATCTATGTATGTATGTATCTATCTATCTATCTATCTATCTATCTATCTATCTGAAAGCATTCAGGAGTACCTTTCCATTAGCCAATAAAAGCTAAGCCCAAAGTCTCGTTTAACCATTATTCCCCACTGAATATACTTAATGTCATTTCATGTGTATCTAAATATTAGATTAAAGGGACAGGTTGGGGTACAGCCTGAACTTTGAATCCATTCAAAAGAATAAGAGTGCTTATGTAGGATCAGATTCCTCTGGAGCACTCTGGAGGTCACTGACGTCCTGAAGAAGCCGAAGTCATGAAGGTGAAAAAGCCCTGAAGGCACTGTGGTCCTGAAAGAGCTGGAGTCTTAAAGGCACTGAAGTCTTGAAGGTCTGGAGTCCTGAAGGTGCTGAACTCCTGAAGGTACTGAAAACCTGAAGTTGCTGAACTCCTGATGGCACTGAAGTCCTGAAGGAGCTGGAGTCTTAAAAGCACTGAGATCTTGAAGCTCTGAAGTCCTGAAGGTACTGGAGCCCTGAGGGCATTGAGGTCGTGAAGAAGCTGGAGTCTTAAAAGCACTTAGATCTTGAAGCTCTGAAGTCCTGAAGGTGCTGAACTCCTGAAGGCACTGAAGTCATAAAGGTGCTGAACTCCTGAAGGCAATGAAGTCCTGAAGGAGCTGGAGTCTTAAAGGCACTGAAGTCTCGAAGCTCTGGATTCCTGAAGGTACTGAAGCCCTAAAGGCATTGAAAACCCAAAGGAACTGAAGTCTTAAAACCACTGAAGTCCTGAAAGAGCTGGAATCTTAGAGGTACTGAAATCTTGGACCTCTGGGGTCCTGACGGTGCTGAAGTCTTGAAGGAGCTAGAATCTTAAAAGCACTAAAGTACTGAATGACCTGGATACTTGAAGGTGCTGAAGTCCATAAGGCACTGAAATCCTGAAGTTCTAATAGCAGTCCTCATGGCACTAAAGTCCTGAAGGCTTTAATCTCCTAATGGCACTGAAAGTACTGAAATCCTAAAGGTTCTGAAATTCAGGCCTGCTCTCTTAAGGGGTCTAATTGATTTCCACTAGATAAAAAGCTCTAACATAACCAGCTTTTTACAATGTCGTATGCTAAATCAGTTTAGTAAATTTGAAAAAAGAGCTAAAAAGTTTCTTTTCAGTTGAAGTTAAGGCTGAGTTTGGTGAAGCACAACCCTAACAGCATTAAACTCTTGTACTACAGAAGTTTATAGAAATACCTCAGAAAGACAAGACTAAAATCAAGGATTTGTGTGTGTGCACAGACACTTTTTCATCAAAAATACCCTGTGCAGAAATGCTGATTTTGAAGCCACAACCAGATTATTTTTCTCTTTAAGGTGCGGAGTCCAGATCCTGGTCAGTGCTGTCGTTCTTGATGTAAGGAATGTGCAAGATGGCAGTTATGACCTTCCCCTTCCTCCCCCTACAGCCCAGACCTGCAGGTCCATCGTCTTATCTTCCACTCCTCTGCTTTCATAAAAACACGCTGGAGCCGCTGTATTATTCTCTCATTGGAGACGAAGGAAAATCCATCGCTTCAGTTTATGTTTCAGCGGAGCAGGCCACCCTGACCGTACAGACAGCAATAAGAAGGAGGGGAGAAGAGAAGGGAGGGATGGAGAGTGAAAAGGGAGAAAGTGTATGAGGAGGGATGGCGCAAAAGAAAGTGGGAGAGAGAGAGAACTAAAGAAGGGGAAACAAAGAGGCTGAAATAGGAAGGGACTGAGAAAGTTAGCAAGAGATGGATGTACAAAGAGCAAGGAAGATGAAGACTTTTTTCTTTCTTTTTTTTCCCTTTCAAATCAACACCAGGGTGATGCATCATCTCCGAACTTCAGCTTGGTTGAGCAAAAACAGCCCTGTCCTCCAAGCCTCCACTCGAGCTGGAGTGTTTCAAGGTTATGCTAACTCAAGCATGCTGCACCAATAACATAAACAGTGCGATAACCAGCTGCCCGGCAGATTTCTGTCATAACTCATGCCCATAGACAGCCTGAGGGCCTGCTATTTCTTTTGGACACATAAAATTGAGAAGGAACAATATTTTTGATTCCAACGTTCTGTTTGGCATTCTTTGTACGGCACACTCATGCGAATCACTGAACAAGCTCATTTCGCAGTGTCTTAAAATGACTCCACAAACACTCAGCCCTGCCCTTAATAATCCTTAATGTTGAGATAATTTTTAATGTTGCAATATCTCATCTTAGTGCCATTGCCTTAATTCTGTGGCCATTATGTATGTCTGATGTCTTTCTAACTACTCTGTCTACTCTTTCTCCTGAGGACAGCCTTAAAGGAGCTTTTTGGTCTAGAGTTCAATACATAATTTGATGTGTTATTCTTTGCATCCCTCAGCCTCATTGGTTTGACAGAATTGATTTTATTTTTATTTTTTTTCATGTTTACGTTCATTGGTGTCCTCTCACTAACTCAGATATAATCCCTGTGGTGTCAACCAATCCTGACTGCCTAGCCACTGATCTAACAACAGGGTAACTCACCTCAGTGAAAAAAAACAAAAAAAAAAACATAAAGATAACAGCAGTTATATCTTTATTCAGCACAAAATAGACTCCAGCAATAAGGTTTTGACCCTTTCAATCAGAGAAAAGAATCTATGCTGAGGTAAGGTAGCATATAACTTGTCCTCCTCATCTGACAAGTACTTTGTTTTGTTTGAGTAATTAAAAGTATTATAAAATAAAAGTATTCTCTCCACTGCAATGCTACTTTTAAGACAGTAATGTTAGCCAGCTGGCTTCCTTCCTTCCTCCAGCTGACAGAAAAAACAACAACAAAAAAAATTCAAATGTCCTGTCCCCAAACATCCAGCCCAAAATATTTCTAGTTTTTCCAAAGTTAGAAACACATTATCAGGAGTGAATTTCCCTAGTCTTTAAATTGGAAAAACTCACTCTGGAGACTTCTAAGACATGGTTGTATGATGCTAGTAAGCATGTTAACAGCAATAGCAATGGTTACAGTTTTCATTTTGGCAGGAGTTACCCTTTATGACTCACTCTAGCATTTTGACAGTGAAATTCTGCAAGCAAAATTGCACTAATTTCAATAGAAATAGCTGGAATCAGAAGACTTTCTGAGCAAAAAAGATTGCAGGTGAAACTTTGTTTGAGTTCGGCTTTGGTGAACTTTGAGATATGAATCTGTTTCACTGATCAGTAGCACAGCTGCTTTGGGGCTGTCTTTCATATACCAGTGAAAACAAGATGGGGAAAGTAATGTTAATGTTAGCAGTGTCTAAGCATAACATTTCATACAATTCTACACACTCAGTTAAAAGTGAATACATAGCAATAGATATCTTTATTTTGTGCTTTTACAAGTTAGGGTTGGCATGATAGCTGGCTTGCTAGCACCCAAATCAGTTTCCTCAAAGTCATCCTAATCACTTAATCACAGCTGATACACTTTTCAGGTCCTGTTGTGGTCACACCTATATTGCGTCAAGGTGAGTCTGCAGCTTTAGCTGGTGAACAGAAATATAGCACTGCCAGTTCAGGTGTGGATGCTAGCAAAACCCCAACCCACTGCCCAACAGCTTAGCATAACCAAAGCCTCAAAGACTCTTTGAAAGTATTATTTGTGTTGTAAATCAGCCAGACCAACCAGCCAGCCAGCCAGAGAGAGAGAGAGAGAGAGACAGAGAGAGAGAGAGAGAGAGAGAGAGAGAGAGAGAGAGCAAGCAAGAGAGCATAAGCACGTGTGACCGTAGATGCATGCCTCTGCCCTGTCGTTAGCCGGTGTAGCTGTTCATGAGGTTGGGGCCTGCTAATCCTCAGATATATATTCCCCTAATTAATCCTGATTACAGCCCTCTAATCACCCTCCCCGAGCCGCTCTGAAACAAAGTGACATTTCCTAATGAATCAAACCTGTCGTACGCCACTGCAGCCTCATGTCACGGCCGTGCTAGTCGGTCAGGTCCCCGGAGGCTGAGGCCACTACTGGGGTTTCATTTCCCCGGTGCTGCTGGGTAATGTCACCTAGACATTTTAGACACTTTAGCAAAGTAGATTTGTAGTAACGCAGCACCTCATTCCCCACAGAAATAATGGGACTTCAGTAAGTGCCATAAACATTGCTTAACCTTTAATATACCCTGTTTTGGTGATTTGTATATACTTTAAACTGAGATTGCACAGAAGAGATTTTGGAGGGTGTAGCTCTGGTGGCTGACCCTTGGAAGTTTAGAGTTATTGCAGGAATGAATAATACGTTTTCATAATTGATCATTACAATTGTGTAGTTAATTATGATGATGATGGCTGATCCCTGCACAGACTCATACTGAAAAATAATATTATTCAGTGTTGAACATATTACACCTCCTTCCAACAATACTGAGCTCCTTACTTGTTCTAACATGCCCTTATGGTAATCTTGGATATGAGATGAGACACTATGACCTAATCCCATGTCTTATTTTTACCCCTTGCCCTTGTTTTCGAGTGTCAGCTTGCCTTTTGGAACTGAGATACAAGAGGTAGTGGTTGAATTCTTCCCCTACGAAGGCGACCCTGCCAGTCTGCAGTGATAGCAGAGGAGTGGTAAACTTCAGCAACCTCACTGCTGGTCTTTAGTTAAATTTAGGGAATCATATGCCTTTAAGGGAGGGGGGTGCGTCAATTATTTATTGCCCCCCCTCTAATTCTTCGGTGATATGAAGCTGAAGTCAACTATTCGTTAGCTTCTTGTTTGAATTTTCCTGTTCTACCTTAAGGCTTCAGAACTGCTGCACCATTTGAGGTGGAACAGGAAAATTAGACATCGGCATAGTATTAGTGGTTTTTAATGCTTGTTATGAAGGAAATTACCATAATACATTGAAACAACGTTAAACTAAGATAATACAAATTTTTAATGGAGAAAATATTTACATTTGTGGGTTTCTTTGGTAGCTTTGCAGCCATCTTTGTTGAGTGTGCCTCAGAAAAACCTCCATCTGGTGGGCCATATAGCCCCAACAGTTCACTCTACCCCTTCTAACTCAACCAAAATCAGGACACCCTTCCCCTAAGTGACTGTGAAAAATGGAGGGGTAAGAGCTAAGTGGTAGGGGCAAGGGATGAAATGGGATTGGGCCTACATGTGAATAGGGTCATTTTTTAAAAACAATTTCAGAAAGTTCAGAAAGAATGTAGTGAAAATTTGGCAAAAAGACTTATTGTGTAATTAAGATAACACTTTGTACTGTTATTATTAAAAAAATTCAGATCCTTTTGTAGTATATAATGTAGCATAAATCCAGCTTTGAGCAATATATTAGAACAAGATTCAGAATATGGTTAGGAATGAATATGCAGGTATTCTAGAGCTGTTTCTGAATGTAGAGAAAAACTGATTTTGAGAAAAATATTTTAAGAATAGATCTCAAAACTGCATTACTCAGTGAGGCAACTTTAAGAATGGGCCTTGGAACTCCACTGAGTGAGATCTCCGAAAACATGCACCATCTGTGTGAATGTTGTCAGTAGTTATAATGAATTAGACATATTTAGACATTCTAGTTTCTATTCTAAAGAAAGCTTTTTTAGTGATATATGACAACATGGTTGTGCCAAGTGTGGCAGAGCTAAGCCTTTGTCTAATTTGCATTTGGAAAATGTGAATTTTTGGAGTGGATGTGAATTGACTAAGTATGCTAAAATGTGTTTCTGTTGAGTTTTTAATGATTGATTTGTCACTGAATTATCATTGCTACTAGTAATGTCTTGCCTTAATTCTCATTATTTTACACAACCTTTGATACACTCCCAACATTACACTTCCAACATCATTTTGTTTCTTTATTGATTCCTGTATATGCTTTAATAATTTCCCTACTAACTATTGACAACTATTACTGCTCTTGTTGTGTTATTGTTTTGTTGTTGTTGAATCAGAGAAGAATGAGTGAGTCTTGGTTCCTCTCAAGGTTTCTTCCTTCTGCTCTCAGGGATTTTTTCTTAACCACTCCTGCTTGGCTTGCTCATTTGGGGCTTGGACTCAGATTTCTGTAAAGCCACTTCTAATAAGTGCTGCATAAGTAAATTTGAATTGAATTGAATTGAACTGAATTGGATTGGACTGACAGGTTTGACTCTAAATTTCTGAATATTTTCCATTTGTTTCAATGTAAAAATCTCAGAAATAGGTATGAAGGATGGCTTTTCTTTCTGTAAAAACAAGACTCTATTTGTTTCAATGAGATGTGCATGAGAAATACTTATTATGAAATTGTAAACAAATGTAACAAATAAAATGTAACAAGTTAACAAATGAAAATGTGTACTTTTGAATTCATACTCGTCTTCTGGGGCACCCGTTACTGGTAACTGTCCTTTACTGGATAGTAAATTCAGGATTGGCCTTTCATTATGTCATACCGGTTGGTTTCTCTAGTGAGTCTTCATGTTAGACAGACTGTTATTGTGCGTATACACAGAGCTGAAATCGAGATAGAAATCTTCCCAAGAGATTCTTCTCCAACCCGTGCTGTCTTATTAACCAATCTTCACTCATGACCTGTTCTGGCCAGATACATTAACTCCAGTCAAGGTCAAACCTAACAGACCACGCAGCACCATCACCCCTGAAGATGGTAGCCAGACAATGCCGCTGACAACTGACCTGGCCCTTTTACATCCAGGTCAGTGGGACCAGCGGCCGAGGGGTCACCTGCTGCACCAGTAATGCTTAACAAATGAACTCTGTCCCCCCCCATGGATGGGGGCCATGCCACTTTTGTTTACGCCACACTATCCCGGGAGATGGGATTGTGTGAAGCCTGAGATTGTTTCCCCGATTAGGCAGAGAGAGAGACAGTTTCAGCCTTGAATCGTTCATTCTCTCCTCTGGAATCAGCTTCACTCCTCCGAGCACTTGGAAAACAATAGCCAGCTGTCCCCCCCTCCATCGCCCCCCCTCCTCTTTGATCGGCCAAATGAAGGCCGCTGGCATTTCTTATAGAGTGGAGATTGCTTATCGATCTATATCAAAATATTCATGCTAATCTGCGGGCAGCCTGAGACTATTTTCAAGCCAGGTTAGCAATCAGAGCAAGGCCGGTCTGTCTGGAGCAATTGGCAGAGCCGTAGAGGGTAATCAGAGAGGGGTCCAGCAGTCAAATGCACTTTGCCGTTTAAATTTAGAGCCCTGACAGTGATGGAGGAGGCCGCAGAAAGGTGTTGACAAACCAAATTGTTTGTTCCAGCATTATTTT